TACGGCAAGCTGTCGCCACCCTTCAATATCTCCAGCGGTGTGCGACAAGGATGCCTGCTGTCATCTTTCGTCTTCAACTTCGCTATTGACGAAGTCATGGAGGTTGCATCTACAGGACATGACTTAGAAGGTATGGAGCTACTCCCAGGAGAACGACTTTTTGACTTGGAGTATGCAGACGACATTGCCCTCTTCTGTGACAGTTCCCAGACGTGCCAAGCCGTGCTGGACAGATTAACATTGACTGTCAGTCGCTTCGGGTTTTGCTTTGCATCATTGAAGTGCAAAGCGTTCCTCCAAGATTGGCAGGTATCGCCACCTGTGCTGACCCTTGGTGGGAATCAGCTAGAAGTCGTTCAGAAATTCAATTACCTGGGAAGTTGTATCAGCGCCCTTGGGATCGAAGACGAGATCACGAACCGTATAGCGAAAGCTCGAAGTGCTTTTGCTAACCTTCGCCACCTATGGCGGCGGCGCGACATTACTCTCGCCCTGAAGGGTAGGGTGTACAATACAACGGTACGTTCGACCTTACTGTACGGTTGCGAAACCTGACCCCTAAGATCGGCGGACATGAAGAGGCTAGTTACGTTCGATCATCGGTACCTTCGCAGTTCGGCTCACATCTGGTGGAACCCCGCGTGAGTAACGAGCATGTTCGACGCCTTGTTTACGGCCCAAGAAAGGGGAACGAACCGCTCAGCACCGTTATTTCCCGCACCAGGCTCCGATGGCTCGGCCACGTGTTACGCATGCCAGCCCACCGACTCCCTCGACGTGCGTTGTTTGCTCACCGGGGATGTGGGTGGAAGAAGAAGAGAGGTGGCCAAGCGATGACTTGGTCCAGAGGAATGAAATCCCTCACTTCGGAGCTAGTGTCGGTTGGAGCTTCACGGCTCCCTGGTTGGGGTCCAAAAGACGGTGAACACGTTTGGCTGGATACACTTGCTGACATGGCACGGAGCCGACCTCAGTGGCGTTCCTGCTGTGAGTTTCTTTGTCCCTCACCATCCCTTTTAGCCTCCCCCTCCATCTACGATCTCATTTCGTAGGGTAAAACAATAATTTTGTCTTTTTGTCTAGCAGCTGGTTGGTAGCTTACCGGAACGATGCCTATCCGTTGCTGGTAGCTCAGCTGGCATGCAACGGTCATATTTATTTTTCCTTTATATATTGTATATGTGAATATATTTCCTTTATGTATTGCGGTACAATAGCGGGGGTGTTTCACCACCTCTAGCTGACATGTATAATGATGATGACCCAGGTTCCTCTGTATAGGCGTTCGCATGTTGTGTGTGAATGTGTGGGCGAACCTAATGCAGCGGTTGGACTGTTGGAGCAGTGTAGACTACCATGACTTTGGCAAACCCAGCATTACTTCATTAGCCTTGTGCTGCACCAAACGACTGAAACAACCGACGAACGACAATCGCCTACTGCTTGCACAGTCCTGCCTTCGCTTGAGCACAATGTGGCATGCACATCGTTTAGTCGCCTATTCTTGATACCAAACTGTGCCAGTAGATACATAAGCTAGACTGATTTTGACGTCGTCATGACAGTCTACACTGTTCCAATTTGCGTGCAGCTACATAAGTTCGCCCACACACATAGACTACAGGAACGCCTATAGAGCGCATCTGCTTTAGTAGTTTCGGTCCCAGTCATCGAAGTGGCCAAGATTTACTTCACTAGGATTCGCGGCCCACTTCGAGATTGCGCATCGTAATCCATTCACAATGACCCTACAAAGCTAGGTAACATTTGTTTAAAACATTACAGACTACACGATTCGGGAGTCAAACTCTCCAACATTCGCACAGCTACACAGGTTCATGTTTGAATGCACAGGCACATGGGGAGAGGGGATACTCAGTCACTGTCTTTAAGCGAGCTGGTCGAGGATCACGAGGATCACCCTACTCCTCCTTGCTTGCTAGCAAGTTGCTAGTTTTCTGCTTAGAGTATAACGTGTCCAATTCGATTTGCAAAACGTCCAAAGTGCTTTACAGTGCGTCCGAAGTAGTTTACAAAACATCCAGTTTAAAGTTAAACTGGGCTATATAGCCATTGCTGCTAGCTTCTAGGCTAAGCTGCTGTACATAGTTAAGACAATATACAGTCTTGTATTCGTGTTTCGGAACGACCACGGTGCTCACCCCCCTCAAACGAATGCACAGTGAGAATGACTGCAGTCCGTGCACCTCGCATGTAGTACGAGGTCGAGAAGGGCGAAACGCAGTTATATCCAGGCCCTGATGAACCCTTCGACTGCACTGTTACTATATGTTGTGAAATCGCTGAGAGAGGTTTTTCAGCACAGCATTGGCTAGAAACAAGGGTTCGTGATCTGATCACCTCCAGCTGTCCATTCTTAGATTATCGTTTTCGATATTTCCAACATGTGTTGTCTACCCTCGAAGGCAGTCAGTATTATGATAATTACATGCTAACTGAGAAGGAGAAACACCAGCGATTATGCCGCAGTACAAAAAGATATGTGAGAAAAGCGATCTACTAAACATTACAGAATACAAGCACATGAAGTATGCACCTGGGTATCTTAGTATGTTTTCAGTGTGAGACGTACGTTGGAGGAAGAAGCGCAGCGGTGGGGGCGGAAGGACAAAGAGACTCGCAACACAAACGTCATTGACGTCAGTTCTACGTCATGTCAAAAATTGTATCCAACCAAAGGTATTCATCGTCTTTTGGACACCAGTCCGGCAGTCAAGAGTTACCAGCCGACGCAAATTTCTGAGTGAGGAACTTCATTCTTTTCGGTTTTGTTCACCGAGCTGGACAATTTAATTACAGACGTTCCATCACCATTCAAGGTGACAACATCATTGCATTAGTGATGGCACTGGTGAGACGCACACCCAGAGATTCATCTTATCCGTCTTATCGTCTATTTCACAGAAGCTAATATATAGTTAGGTACTTGAATCTCTGGACCGTTTCTAACTGATCACCATTAAGGATCAGTGCAGGGGAGATTTTTGCCATTACAGAGGAAAGATTTCACATTTCGAGGGTGCAAAGTCAAGCTCAAAATGGTTAACAGCTAGTGCTAAATTGTCCGGTGCTGATAGGCACGCTTGTGGGCTGTACAGATTAGGGCAATATCATCGGAATGCTCTAAATCAAGAAGTCGCTAATCTGGAACCAACTCTACACCTTGTAGGTCATGTCCAGTAAACACATTTTCCATGACTCCATCAAGAAAGGTGACAGCGGGCATGCGTGTCTCACACTGTTGGAGATCTATGGGTGCAGTTAGAGTTTGTCATATGCTTTTGCTCTGCCCGAACTACGCGCATAGAGTGCTCAGATAATGTTTACCTAATTCTCGGGCACGCGTTTCCTATACAGTCTTGAAGGACACGTCCATCCACCGAATCGAAGGCACCTTTGATGACGAGGAACAGGACTACGGTAGATCGCCAATATAACCGGTTGGCGTTCCAACAACTGACGTAAAGTAGTGTGGTCAATGCAGCGTCGAATTCGACGAAACCCGGTTCACTCTTCACAACTTTTACTTTGAAGTGTGCTACTCAACCTGTGAATGGCGGGATGGGTAGGTAACTTGGTAGCGAGCCCCCTATGATTGCTGCACTCAGAACGTGTGTTTCCCTTGTTAATTGGAACTAACGGAGCGGCGCCAGTCTACTTGTACACTGGCATTACTTGTATGTTCGGAGTTTCTTACGAAACGTGTGAGTCTAAATTCGCAGTGTTGCGACCTTGTACTGCCATATGTGCCTCCTACGATGAGCACCTTTTGCTCATGTACTACGGTCATCATTGCATTCCCTCAGCTGAACCCCCTCACAAGAACCCTTCCATTATCCTGCCTATCGCACTCAGCTATCGCGAAGCGTTTATGTTCGTTCTTTCTGATGCCCATTTTATCTCTCGGATCCATGTGAGTGACAGTCACTCGTTCTGTGTTATCTCCACACACCTAATGTGTTCCGGCTTGCTGCACTACGACACAGGTTTAGTACTGAGGTTTTGTGAGTATCCCCTATCAACACGAGAGGTTTCTTCATTCCCAGTGATGACTACTTGAACTTCACCCATACATTTGTTACCGGCAATTTGTGTAGGTCTATTGTCCTCATCACAACGGCTGTGGTGCTTTGATGTTACCTTATAGGCATTGCCTTTCATTTCAGTGGAGTAATTATTTCGACACCGATTGTAAACCACCTTATGTGTACTCTAAGCTCACCGATTATTCCGAGTTACGAGGAGCTCATTCCTACTCACAAATGCAACCGCCTAATTGATTTAAATTATGAACGACCTCTGTCTGGATCTTAGCCCATACGCCATGGATGGTCCCTGCTGTCGGTGGCCCCTTTAATGTTGCCGCACAGTTGCGTTACAAACGTTAACATTAGACGGCTTGTTGAGAGTGAAGTGGAACACGTAGCGGTGGTCAAATGACAGCAAAATGTCGATCTCCACTCAATGCCATCGTAGCTGCTTACCACCGCTACCGGGGAAGTCTCATCACCTTGTTGTCAGGCGGTCGATGTTCCAGCAAGAGTCATTTTTAGTTCTGAACTCACCATCTTGGCTGCTGCTCTACAGTGGTATGACTCCGCACTTGGCGAGTTTTACTGTTCCAATCTGACACCTGTCGATGGGTGCTTTTCCACCTAGCCTTACGTACGATTGTTTGGAGATTAGATGGTCAGAATACAACTCCACATCGACTGTCGTCTACCTTACTGCTACAGTGCTCTGACCCTTCTGAGTCCGTACACCTACTCTGTAGTGGCGCTTCGCTAACTTTGTCACACTTCCCCACTGGAGTTTGTAAAAACACTTCACACCTAGTCACATTTTGTCCTCGATACCATCAAATCAAAAGTAAGTGGGGCACATGTTAGAATTACTTTCCACATAACTGCGTCTGTACTGCCGCGTAATGTGTCTATCGAATAAATTTATCTAATTTGACAACCTCACCAATTTTGCAGGCCCTCCAATGATTCTCATGGAGTTCGCGAAACATGGCAATCTACGCGACCTCCTTCGTCGAAATAGGCCTGCGTCGGAACAGTGTCTTGGCGACGGTCGATCGTTTAATGTCGACGGTACCGCCTGCCCCCAGCTGGACAGTCCTTCTCTCCTTCGATTTGCGCGTCACGTCGCGGACGCAATGACATACCTCGAGTCACTCCAGGTGAGGATGTTCGTGACAAAACTTTAGTGATGTTACGTTTCCGCTAAGTCTTTCGCATTTCAACTTTCGCACCAAATTACTTTGGTAACCAATTTCACATTGTAGGCCTGCGCCAACTGCTACTTCCTGACATCTGATGGGATTAAACGTCGTCTTGACATAAGTTCCTCATCTTACATCCGTTGAATTGTGTCGCAACCCGCCAACTCCAATTGATAATATAATGAGATTGATCCATGCACAGATATTAGGTGCCCTCTCTTGATCACTAAAAGAGACACCTCCTCGATGACATTTCTGGAGTTAACTAACCGTTCCATCACCTAATAGGATACGACGCACGCACCACTTAATGTTTTGCTGAATTACATAATATATATATATATACCACAAAAATGTTTAGTTTGTGAACATTTAAAACAGCTAGTTCTCTTTAGTAACTTCAAAAGCACAATAAGAAGACGTAATTCGGCAGATGCATGCATTTCATATCGTCTCATCAGTGCCGATAACGATAACCGGTAATTTCATATAACAGTTTGTGGGTACAGACATACATACAAACAAACGCGAGGAGAAAGGGAGTGTCTTTCTTCAACAACTAGGACAGTCTGGGGCTGACCGATAATTGTTGTTGGACACAAAGCACTTAGTTTAATCTATATGGCCTCAAAGATTCCTTCCAGCTTGTCGAGGATCTCGATAAAATGAACTTGTCCGATAAGGTGATGTGTTCCTTAGATGTGGAATCTTTATTTACTAATCTTCCGCTACACCAGACCGTTGACTACATCTGCGATTTAGCAGAAAGTTCCCAATGTCGGTTGCCAATTCCAGTTGAATTCTTAAGAGAACCATTACTTCTATGCACAGAGAATGTCGATTTTCGCTTCCGAAACATACCGTATCGACAAATTGATGGGGTAGCCATGGGAAGCCCACTGGGTCGCATACAACGGATTTCTTCATGCTGATGATAGAACGAAGCCTATCCGAAGAACTAGCGCAGTTGCCCTATTACAAACGTTACGTGGACGATATCTTGGTGTTTAGTTCAACAGAAATGCCGATCGCACAGCTAGTGGCGCGTTTTAACTCCTCGCATGTAAATTTGAGGGTTTCTTGCGAAGTCGAACAACAGAACTGTCTTCCATATTTGGATGTTCTTATCAGCCGCAGGGATAACGGACTGGTAAAAAGGTCTCTCTATCAAAAAACAACGTGGTCGGGACCGTATCTGCATTTTAGCAGCTTTACACCAATGCGACACAAGCGAACACTTGTGAAGACCCTGTTTAGTCGCGCCGGACGAATATGTTCGACGGATTGTCTAGCCGATGAACTAGAACTAATTACCAACACGTTAATTGCTAATGGCTACCCTCGAAACTTTATCCGGAAGCACAGCGAAATCCGCGAAATGAAAGTTGCTGTACCTACTGTGCCTAAGAAAAAGGTATTCTTAGAGCTGCCCTTTAAGGGTGACATTGCTTCTTTGAAGACTAGGAGACGTCTGATTTCCGCCACACAGAGCACTTTCTGTGCTGCCGACGTTGTAATCATCGACCGAACTCATAAGCTACCGTTGCCTCCACTAAAGGAAACTCAGCCTATTGGCGCCAACTCCCACTGCGTATATCAATTCGTATGTAACTGCGGGGATAGTTACATAGGCAGAACCAATAGAACACTGAGTTCCCGAATAAAGGAGCATGTACCAAAATGGGTTCAATGTGGGCTTATTCAGCAAGCAAGCCCAAATCAGACTACGTGTGTACGCAGGCCGCCAGCGTCTTCGATCGGCAGGCACTGATTGACATCAGGTCACCGAATTGAGGTCAACAAGACTTTTAGAATCCTGCTTCGCCATACTAATTCCCGGCTCCTCCGGTTTGCCGAGGCGATTGTCATTAATCGGATTAAGCCAGTGCTTTGTGTTCAAAAACAATTATCGGTCAGCCCCAGACTGTCCTAGTTGTTGAAGGAAGACACTCCCTTTCTCCTCGCGTTTGTTTGTATGTATGTCTGTACCCACAAACTGTTATATAAAATTACCGGTTATCGTTATCGGCACTGATGAGATGATACGAAATGCATGCATCTGCCGAACTTCGTTTTCAGGTTGTGCTTTTGTGAACATTTGACAATCGTTACTGTCGCGCATCTCAAATACGCACAGAACACACCTTGGCCCCAATGGTGCTCGCGATCTTCGCGGGTCTAGCATGCAGCACCTAAGGTGCTCTAACGCAGATTCATCTGTTCACTGGCGCTGTACACGCGTTGATGGGACAGGGACCGTCTGCGAAACACTCGCGGCTCCCACCTGCATGCCTTCAAGCTTTGTTTTGTCACATGCTTCGTACACTGTAGGCGGTGCAACTCCGTGTACGCAGTTGTACTGAGGTTGCTCACACTTGTAGTGCTAAGCATATTTGGATACAGTGACTTCAACGCACCAACGGTCGCACAGATGACAGCACTTCATTTCCGTCGGAAAACGCACGCTCCTCATTCCATGCACTGCTTATTGCTTGTCCTATCCACCATCACCGTCATCATTGTATAGGTTAGGTAGAAGTGCTAAACAGTTAAGCTATTGGGCGGCAATACATGGGAAAAGAAAACAAGACACGGCAGAGGCACATCAGCCGAACTACCCGTAACAGATGGACCTCGTCCCGGAGAGCCAACAGCCGGCTATATGCCTTAAAATGTTATATTATGTGCGCGAAATGGGATCATAGTTGGAGGGGTGACTAAGCGAGAGTGGGAGGGACAAAGAAACTCAACACAAACGTCACTGAGGTCAGCTCCTAGCCGCATCTACAAGTATATCCAGCCAAACATGTTCATCGTCTTTCGAGCTCCAACTGAGAGCAAATTCGAAGTGAGGGCCTTCACTCCTGTTGACCCAGTCATCGCTTGACCTCCTTTGCTTTAATCCACACCCCCGGCGCGCAAACAACGCACGCCGCGGGAGTCGGTGTTCTGGCATGCGCAACACGTGTCCAACCATCGGAGGCTGGTGCGTGATACGACGGTCCTGAGCTGTTCACTGTGCCATCAACAAGACCTCAAACACGCTCATTGCCCACGCGGTGTTCCTACCAAATGTGAGCCAAACTGTGGATGCACCAGTAGTCGAACGTAACCAGCCTCTTTCTATCTACTGATCTAATAGCCTAGATTTCACAACCGTAGAGCATGGTTGAACTTACTGTCACATTAGAAACACTACCCTTCAACGAGGGAGTGATTTCACGCCGACGCTATAGGTGGCGTAGGTTAGCAAAAGTGCCTCGAACTTTTGCTATACGGTTCATGACCTCGTCTTCTATTCCACCGGAGCTGATACAAGTGCCGTTCCGGCGTCCAGCCCGATCGGAAGGAATCTACCTATTAGGTGCTTCATGAACAAACCTGGATCGCAATTCGTTTGACCACGCTTGCCTCCTCGTAGTCTTAGAACAGTTGCACAATGAATCAGCGTGGAGCGGAGTTTGGTCATTTGTGTTTTGTTAGGCTATCACTGTGCTCGTGAGTAGTATCTCGATCGACGGACTAGCCTTCAGTTTGGAGAACGGGTCTCACCTGAGTTTCCGATAGAGCACATGCACTCCAGCTATCGACATATCTGATGAATCCTCTAACGGTTGAATGCGCGATTTCGCTATACTGGTTTCTGGTAGTCCATGTTTGCTGGTTCACATGACGCAGGAATTAAGGACTGTTCTGCTATGTCACAAAAACGCAGATGCAGCAGACGTATATTGTACGAGGTAAACGAAGAAGTAATAGCCGTTCTAATGACAATGATAAAATCGCAAAAGTCGGCTGATCGATCAATCAGCATTGAGCCAAGTTCATCCAACCAGAGTAAGCTCAAGGTAGCGAATCACAACACGCTCCAGGGGCGCATACCGTGTGTGAAAAGTTAGCTTTTTCCTTTCTGCTGACTGATTTACTTAGTGGATACAATCTACACGGACTGCCATTCACAAAGGCCCGCACGGCCTTACTTCCAACGTCTCATCTGTCCCTTGTCATCTTATTACATCCCGTGTTAGACTATGGCAAACCCGATGTATTGGGCTGATTCGCTCATTGTTATTTTACACCGGATGCTAAAGTTCGAGTGACAACCCTTCGGCTTGCGGTGAATCGATGAGGTCTTCTCTAACATCTTGGGTGCATCCTTGTGACACACCTATTGCTGGTCTGAGGTAGCACTTGCCTCTGTTGTTTCACATTTAGCCGACCCTGTTCCGTGTTGTTTTCCGTCATATATGTGTCTAATCATTCTATCTTCACTCGGTGACCTGTCATAACTAGGGTATTGTGTTTTTCACTTCAGTTCTTCCGCCAGCACCAACGAGCCTTTCCACCGGTAGCTTGTCACAACATGGCACTTCCGATTTTCTCTCTTAGAGGAGTGCACTAATCCATAGACGTTTTTCTAGATTTCTGCAATGGGTTTGTCTTGAGCGTATGTACAGGTTATGGGCTTCGAATGAGGTAGTTGCGGGGAAGTTACCCACAATCGTTGACGCTGTACTCATCCACTGTGAACTTTGCGCTGATTTAGTCTCTTGTTCAAGCATGCTTGAACTGCTTGCACAAGTGTTTGTACTTCGTAATGTACTTCGGTGGAGGCCGTTTCCTCTGTCAACCAGCCGTGTGAGTGCGTAGCTGAGTGGCTCATCTTCCATTCTATTGGTATGGGTGTACGTGGTCCACGCGGACGGCAACCATACGCGGCCAGCTTACCGACACTTGGAGGGTTGCGTACTGCTGCACACAATACTTTTGGTCAACCACTTTTGGTGACCCCTTGAGCCGCCAGGCACTTGTTCAATAGCTTCACCAGAATACTCGACACCCTCGTCCTCATATTTTCCCCGGTTCAACTACTTGCAGCCATACTTGGAGGCTACATCGCAATTTGCGATTTATAAGACGGTTTTGTAAATGCGCCTTCGGTCTGATGAAAACTCCCCCATATACTTCTGGATCCCTATCCGTTTATGTACTGCTAACGAGTAGACATCCGGCGTTTTAGCCTGGATCCAGGTTCCTCAGGCTCGGATTTCAGCTCGGCCGAGATGAGCCGGCGGCTGCAAGTCAGTCCCACTTTATCTAACCCTGTTGTTAGTGCGTGAATCTAGTGGAATCGAATAACGACAGGCTCCAGATTAGTGCCGGGCTGCAGTCGTTAACTCGACTGTATTGGTCACACAAGTGCTGGTACCAATCTAACAGTGCTACTAACTCACTGTGACAGTCTTTACCACTCCAATGAATAGTGCACCTTTGGGAAGGTAATCACAGTCGTGCTGCCGACCCATGGAAACCGCAGTAGTGCAACCCGGTGTAACTTGATAAGTATCCACTATTCCGTATGACTTTGTGACAGATGGATTGTAATTGCTGTCAACCATGTCTGTCTTTACTCTGGCGCCTATATGATCCGCAAGACTCCAGTTTCCAACTACATAAAACAACTGCGACACTTCTGCTTAACTAGACTGAACTGAAGACATCGAACTGAACGCACAGTGGAAGACTCTTGGACCAGGACACTACGTTGAACACTCATCTGATTGATTTTGGACCTCTTACTGGTTGCCTGAAGGAAATGGCCAAGGCCAACTCACTGCCTCCGTCGACGGATCTGCCTACCGGTTTATTTCGGAGCATGAGCAGTTAGCTGTGTGGCACTAGCTGTATCACCAGGGACAGCCGTCGGACCCAGATAACGGTCCCATCCAATGCGCCTCATCTAACAACACACTTTCTGTGGCCTACACTCATTTCATCGTGTCACTCCTCAAGGTAACTTCACAGGTGCACAGCGATCTTCATAACGTTCCTCAACCAGCCAACCATGACATTCTGGCGGTCTCTCACTGCTCCTTTGTCTAGCGGCGGTCGTTGCGCCCGTCGGGAACTTTGTACTTGCGATTCGCTAGCTATTCTCTTAAAGTACCGTTTTCAGATATACATCAGGGTCTTGGATGAATACATCCTAATTCGAGTTGATACCCCAACTGGGACCACTCCGGTCACTCCTTCTATACCAAACAGGAAAATCAGAAGACTTATTTTAGTGGGATGGCATTGCCGTTTTGTGTATTGTTATCAATCGCAAACATGCAATATAGATAGATGAACCAAAACAATACCATATGACATCGTAGGCGGTCAGGCGTTTGCACTGCCAGGTAGGTTTAGAGCAGCGGTCAGCTGTTTTTGAATGCACCATGTTGACGTTTGTGATCCATAACAATGGCTTTCTGTAGCCTAAGAATGTGGACCGTTGATAGCGCTCCGCTGCTGTCCCGATCTTTGAAAGAGCTCACGTTCAGAATGCGGCAGTCATAGTTGGATCAGGCTGATCCCCATCACCGCCACGTCATCTACTCCTCTCGTCATTCATAGGTTGCCTAGCACATATGGAAGCAAAATTCGTGAAGAGTGAACCGGGTTTCGTCAAATTCGACGCTGCATTGACCACACCACTTGACGTCAGTTGTTGGAACGCCGCCAGTTACATTGGCGATCTACCGTAGTCGTGCATCTCCTCATCAAAGGTGCCTTCGATTCGGTGGATCGACATCTCCTTCAGGACTGCTTAGGAAAGTTGTGCCTGACAATTACGCAAACATTATCAGAGCACTCTATGCGCGTAATTCGGGCAGAGCACTTCAAGATCTCCAGCAGTGTTAGACGCGGATGCTCGCTGTCATATTTGTTGATGGAGTCACGAAAACTGTGTGGAGCTGATTCCAGATTAGCGACTTCTTAGTTTAGAACATTGCGATGATTTTGCCCTAATGTGTGACAGCTCTCAAGCGTGCCAATCAGTACTGGACAATTTAGCACTATCTGCAAACCGTTTTGGACTTTGCTTTGCACTCTCGGAATGCAAAGTCTTTCTTCAGTTTTTGCAGGAAATTCCCCTGCACTGGCCCTTATCGGTGACCAGCTAGACGTGGTCCAGAAACTCAGCTTCCTGCACAACTGTAGCAATCCCTCTGAAATCGATATTGAGATCACGAACCGTTTGGCGAAGGCGCGAGGTCTTTATGCCTATCTTCGCCATTTAAAACACCGACGTGATATAACGGTTGTCCTAAAGGATGGAGTCTACCATGCAGCCGTCCATTCATCCCACCTGTAAGACTGTGATACCTGGCTCGACAAACTTACAGAGGCTTGTCGCGTTCGATTACCAATACCTTCGCTGTTTAGCTCACATCTGGTGGGAATACCATGGGAGCAATGAGTGTGTGTTCAGCACCTTGGGTTTGCTGTATGCAAATGTTGTGAACAGCACAGCACCAGTATTTCACGCACCAGCCTCCGATGGCTCTTCCATGTGTTGCGCATGCCAGCCCACCGACTCCCGCGACGTGTCAAGTTTGCGTATCCGGAGTGTGGATGGAATAGAAAAGCTGGCCAACGGATGGCGTGGTGAAAGATGAAGGACCTCACTTCGAAGTTGTCCACGGTTGGAGCCTGTCGGCTCTCGGTTTGGTGTGCAAATGACGAACACATCCGCTTGATGACATGGCTGGGAGCCTACCTCGTCTGTGTTATGAGGTCCGTTATCCTGCCCCATACCTCTAAGTCTCCTCCTCCAGTCGCGTTCTCGTCGGTAATGCATGTTATACAGCATAATAAATTTTTGTTTTGCTTTGTTTTGTTGCTTTTTGTACTGCCACCTGACTGACTTGTATTACGGTACAATAGCTGATGTGTAGAATGAGTGGTTTCCCTTTTCAACCTATTACTTCATCACAGATCCCATCTCGCTCCGTTTGGGGATGTGTACATTGAAGCTGATACATGAACTTCGGTCAGTGCGCCCAACCTAGCTGTCCGCACAACACAGGTGAATTTGTCTGGACAGTGAGACACGCACTGCCTGGTCGCCGGCTTCTCAATGGAACATATGGGCGTAGGTGTCCTCAATGAGCAGCCGCAGTTGCGCCGCTTTTTTGTTGGCGTGCATATTTGTTTCTCGGTAGCTACTTGAAGATTAGTTTCTTTAGGATTCTTGCCACGCCATCTCGCTTCATTTATTATTAATCTGGACCCCTGTACCGGTCGGAACGCAGCACACTCACCATATTCGTGACGGCACTTAGCGTTCTGCTAGTGCGTTCCCGGATCGCGCTTCGGGAGAGAATAAGTATTCTCAACTATTTAAGCGACTGATTAATTTCGCGGCACGCCAGCTGTACATGCACAAAATCTTGGTTCGCGATATCCCACCGCAACCACCTTGGTGCGGTATGGCTCTTTGTCTGGTGGTGGGCTTATCAGTTGCAGAAGACCATCGCGCTCTGAATGTGCTTCATCTGGTTCGCTGAGCGCACACGACTTTGCGTTTAGAGGCCCGCGCGAATCAAGTGTCATGTGATCAGACTGCACATGTTCGCTTCGCTACGACCTTGAGCACAAGCGGTGACCCAGTCCACTGTGAGCCGGGAGCTCAACTTGGTATGAAGACAAATGCCCCCGTATCTCACCGGCATAACAACTGCTTTTCGCACATGTGGTCATGTGCGCATTTGACCTGTCTACGTTCTCACACAACCAGACATCGGTCGCACACCGGAACGCACCGGTCGTCATACTCCAATGGAGATTGTGCGTCCTAGTTAACCATGTTGTTTAGGCTCACTTGTAATTCACTAAACCCAGCGCTGCGTATAGTATTTGTTAGGCATAATTGTGGATCTCATCAAGCACAATTCGTCCTGTTAACTGTCACTATGAAATGCGATTTTTCGTCGTCTTGACTACTAGGAAATTAGATATATTTCGCTTGTGTGCTTGAGGGAACACATTGGGCTATTTGTATACATCCCCTAAACAGGCAGAAAGCGTACCCTCTGAAGAATCGATGCTCACCGGTTTAAAACTCGTCTTTCATTGCAAAGAAAACGATACAATCACATTGTTTCAAGCGCTTCGTTATAAACGTGACGTTTACACTCTGCCGTTTCCAATTTTGTTTTCAAATTTAGCTGGTACATTGCGATATTGCAGCCCGCAACGTACTGATTACAGAAAATTGGGTGGCCAAGTTGTCCGACTTCGGCTTCACACGGCACGTCGATGACCGTGACTTTCAGAAAAACCGGGTAAATTTTTACCTTTTCATAGAGTACTTATGTTGTTTTTAATGTGTGAGCTACATTTTGTGCCCTGAGGATGCACACACAACCTCGTCTCCTCGTTCCTCCACGGAACACTCACCCGCTGACTTTGCATTGAGGTTGCATTTACAGTCACCGTCAAGCCTCGTAATGATTGGTGCGCCTGTTGATCGCAGAGTAATAGAGCAGTTATCGTCTTCGATTTGATACTTGCGTGTTAAGCATAGTAATCCTGCAGATGCTAATTCCATGTGGGCAGGATTTGCACACTTCAACTTGAGTGAAGAGAGTACGTCTCTCATTGCAACCCGTTTCACACATCTTTAGATGCCCGGTACTGACGGAATAAAACATTGACACAGTATCACACTGGTTACCCGCCAAAACATCGATTTCGGATGTACAGGTAACTAGGTTGCCTACTTCGGCCTATCAGCACAAGAGCCGCTTGGATCATATTCTTCCTCTCCGCCAGTAGCTTGATCTTCCCACCGAGCGTTTGTAATCGATGTTTGCCATCTGATGCCCAACAGATAACTATCACCGAGAAATCTCCTAGCTAAGTTAGAGCGGACATTCCTTCATGCACATTAACTTTCTGATATTGTTTTGGTCATTGGTTGAGCAGCACACAGACCGGAGTCTAACTTGAGGCGGCGTGCTCAATGTTTGTCAAGCTAAACACTGCACCCATCACCTAGCGTCACCCTTTATTCGTGTTCAACCTGAATAGCCGGATCGCCATCTTAGTCATTTTCAGATCCCGCTTTATCGCATCTGCTCGGGAGCAGGTCCGAAATAGGTTGATCAATGAGACATCCACGTACTGCCCATCAGCGCTCGCCTTGTACACCGATCATTCTCCACGTAGTTGTTAGTACCCAACAGCGAAACTCACAGGTGGGGCAATGGACGGTCAAGGTTACTTCGGGGGGGGGGCGATACTTTGGAGTCGAAAATTTTGCGTTATTCAGGTTTTTCGACCAATAATCTCGCTGGATAGGATCACCTTTCATTCTTTTAAACATCTTGGGACCGTCCACGGGGATGTGGCTGCTTCATTTTACGAGTTCATCACTCCAGAACCGCCCAATTGTGTTTCGGCTGCATTTGCTGTGGTAAAGCGAACTGACATCAACCAGCAGGAGTAGGAATTGTAAGCTGTGGACGGCTGTCAAGTTTTCCAGTTACAAAATCTCGTCCACTTGGTACTTGAATTGCGAAACGTAATCAGAAAACAATTTATAGCTTTTTCATCAGTCAATTAAGATGGATTTTCGTGTTATTTCAGATCCACCGATAAAAGGGACTTACTGAACGACGCGATCTGAGATTGACACTCACATCGATGAAACCAAACATCAAAAATTGCCGGTGACCATCGGGCTTAGCTGTTTCCTCAATTATGGTTTTATATACTGCCTGAAGATATGAACTTCGCTATATTATTTCACCAGTGGTACGGTGATTATGTAGCGGGCGATTGGAACGTATATTGACTCCAGAGTGGCTTGGGTTCCGTGTGGGTTGGTAGTTCCAACTTTACAATGCCAACAACTTGCCCACCTATGCAGGTGGCAACTGTTGTGCACGGACACCGACCCATTTGCTAGTGACGCTACGCGTTGGCAGCTTCAGTCTGTCTGACCTGCAAGTTTGTACAGTCCCTAAAAGCCTGATACGATGCTAGTCGATGAGTTCAGCGAGGAAGTGCTCGAGAGTGACCACTGGCAATGTCCGCGACTGAGTTGTCGCTAGAACTACTGTCGTCAGCATCCCACTGTTACCTTGGGTAACATCTAGTACCCATCTGGGAAACCCATTGGAATGTTGCGAAAGCCCTGTCGGACAGTCTAACCCGTTACTGCATACTGTTGCCTGTAGGCAACATACCAGAAAATTGTCCGCCAACTTGTTTTCACAAAGTTGTTCATATTAAGAGTAAGTTCCCTTGATAGAACAGATATTTACGGTTTATTTCGATTGTCTGTCGTTCTGTTTGAGCGCAAAATTGTCTTTTGAACGCAAAACAGAGGAGTTATTTCAATGGAAATCAGCAAGCTTTCGCGTTAGACTGTAGATACTCCATACAGTAAAGGGTTAAGGAGGATTTTGGCCGTCCGCCAAACTGAGGACCGAAAGGACCGCACTGATCTTGGGTGCGTTATCAGATTGGTGTGTGGTCGAGATCGTGTACATGTCTCAACCTACGCCCTCGACTGGCTCCGTGGGCGACGTTAGGCAGGGTTTTGGTTCCACTCGCATCGGTCTACCCATTGTTACCATCCAGTCAACACACATCCGAGTCAATCGATTCATTCTGATGGCTGACCCCTAATACTACTACTACTGCATGGCTCGTTAACTTGACCGTCGCATTCACTTGGTTTGCCGCATCGCTCGGTCGATTGGTCGGTTATGTGATCCTCAGGTTAAAGATGCGCTACCCAGCGACTGTCGGTTTCCACGTGGAACTCACCCAATCTATCCGCAGTGTGCTTCTCTCTAGAACTATTTTCATGGAGCGTACGGGATGCGAACACATGGAGATTCACTGATGAACCAGTCCGCGACAGTCAGTCGACGAACTGCACGAGTACCGCATGCAATATTTAGGCCCATGTAAAGGCCGTTCATATAAATGGCTGTGCCACTCTGCTGCTTCGTTCCGTGTTTACTGGCTGAGAACATTCTCCTTTCATGCTAACCTAGACCAGTCGACCGTTAGCTCCGTGTTACACCTTACCGTTTGGGTGATGACAATCATCGTCCATCGGTTATCCTCGTGGTCATTCACCCTGGGCGTGTGATTACTGATGGAGATAATTGTTGTGGTGCACACCGATGTTTGTCTACAGGCCATGTGCATTTCTGGATCACTGTTCGGGTTGGGATTACGAATATGAATCGTTAGGGTAGGGGGATTACCTCTGTAACTCCTTTCTTGCGAGTAATGATTGCGACTCGATCACGCATGTTCATAGTTGAGATTCCACTCTCCGCGAGTATACAATGTCCTGTCCGTGAGCTTGTGTTGCTAACCGTATCGGCCTTCTGTGGCTTTCGGTGAATCAGAGAAAATTACATCTGTCCGGGTTGATTAGGCCTAACGGGATGTGCTCATGGCTCTGGGCCCATAAGTGGTCCCCTCTCTGTCACAACCATGTGTTCGTTGGCTAGACGCTTTGTGCTAATGTGGTCCCTCTTAGACACTGGTAGGAGTGCGCTTCTTCGTCCAGACTACAAAACCGAATCCGGTAGTAATTGGATGTGTCCAGAGCGGTTTCAATTTCATCTGCGTACTTCACTGTTGAGAGGGAGGCTTCGATGCATCGAAGCAATGAAGTACGGACTAAGACGCCTACCGCGTCACTCAACAAAACACATCTCGTGCATCTTGTTTGGGTGACACTGTCGTTTCAACATCCGGGGGAAGTATCATCTCACTACGCTTGTCGGATGGAGGCAGATCGTCCCCATAACAACGTCATTTCGTTGATATGGGGCACTTACTGCATTAATTTCCGCTTCCGCTTTTCCTATAAACCGAGACAACTGGGTAAGACTTTGTTTGCTCTCTCTCTAGAGCGACTTACGTAAAGAGGTTGAATAAGGTTTTTACCGCGACACTGCTTCGGCGACGAGAACCGGTTCGCAATGGCTCTACTTTATCAATGTTATCCCATCTGCACTTGCCTTCGCAGCACTGCAGTGCCGGCATGTTTCAATACGGGAAAGACTCCTACTACCGACATGATTCGTCTAGGCTGCTCTACGACTTTGCTGTTCCCGCTCGTCTTTCCACCACAACCCTGTTTCTCTGTATTTCTTCTTGATTCACTAGTGAAGTTACACTTTCAGATGATGTGGCGCGAGCCTTCAAATCAGCTTGTTTAATAATGCAGTCCGCTCTGCCATAAATCATTGGCACTCCTCAAGCCTACTTGAGGTACACGTGTCACGACTGTTCTATTTGGTGGTTCCTTACACCTCATAGGAGCGCTTTCCCTACCGCTGGATGGCTCCAGAATGCTTCGATGGCTCCCGGTTCACACAGAAGAGCGATATATGGTCTTTTGGAATTTTCCTGTGGGAATTGTTCACTCTCGGGCAAGTTCCATACCCTGGCCTATCAAATGCTGAAATACATGATTGGCTGGAGGCCGGAAACCGAAACGAACAACCTGTCCTGGCCAATTCTTCAGTCTACGAATTGATGTTACTCTGTTGGACCATGGACCCAGCTATGCGACCTACGTTCAAGGAGGTGCTGGCTTCCTTGATTCGCCTGTCCAATTCGAACCTGTCTGCCACCAACTGCAGCCGGTCGCTTTACACCGGTCATCTGGAAGCCAAACTGTCACGCTCCCTGCGAGTCTGCTCCTTACCAAAATCCGGCTACTCATCTGAAGTAAGTCACTCTATTGCGTCTAAGTAGCAATGATGCTCCCCTCACCTGTCACTGATTATGCACCATAAATTGAGCTCCACGTCTGTTTGGCTAATTGAATCAACCTTACTAACTTTCAGCGCATAAAACCTCACAATGCCCTTCGGCAACCTGACTCATGCGAGCGTTCAGTCTTGTCTGTTTGGAACGCGTTGACCCACTAGTTGACCCGAATGTTTGCAATGCAACCAGCCCTCGGTCCCGCCTCTCACTCATCCCTAGTACAGAGCACTTAATGCATCAAGAGTGTCCCTCCCATCGGGCAGTCCTGATTAATTAGGTCAGCTGGATTGGAGACCACAATCACTCTCACACCCACTACTCGCTTCCTACACGTTCTAATGCACGCAACCATGCTTCACATTCAAGGTGCCCCATAGTGGGCGCACTGACCACCACAGCATCCACCGAACGCAGGCGCAACCACGTCATAGCTTGACTCATACTGAGCGTGAGAATCATGGCTTACACAAGCCCTCATGCCAAAGAATGATGTGGAACCTGCCCTCTCGGCGAGTCTTGGTTTCGGATATGCGGCACTGGTTTCAGGTAGGTTTGGCGTATAGGGTGCTGCCCCGAAAACGTGCGTTCATGTGCTCTTTTGGCATTGTTCGCTGTCCTTTTCCACTAAGGCCCAATTTTCATCCTTGGCGAGCACACACAACCGACTCCCACTCGAACGCGGTTGCTTCGATGCTCGTAGACACATCATTGAACATTGGTTTAAAACGGGCAATAAGTGAATACTTCTCAAGTCCCGTAGAATGACCGGAGTGAGGACTATAAAGTAAAAGTTCAAAATGACAGGGAAAAGGGTGGCTTCGGGTTTCAGATAACACACCGAGTTATTCGTACGAACACACCTATGCTAGTCTCCTCACCTCTACGTAACAGAGGGATGATGAGTCAAGTCAAAATGTAAGCTTTATCTACCCAAAAGGGTGCATTTTCAGCATTTTACATAATCAACTGTAAATTTATAAGTGGGTTAACAGTAAAATGCAAAGTTTACAAATGGGTATAAAAATGAGGATGCACTGTCCTAGATCAATCAAGCAACGATCCCAAAAAGTTGGACTAAATCTTCGGGATTTGTATCTATTGAAAATGGAAAAGGTTTCGTAAAGTGTTGCTCCAGAATTCGTTTCAATTGACGTACAATTTTGTGTCCAGCAACAATATATCGTGGATCGTACGTGATATAGGTGTGCATATTCAATGTTGGTTAGAGTAAAGGGTCGGTGTGCCCTTGGAAGTTGATTTGACAAAACACCTGTCGGTGTAATGTTTGCAATACTGAAATATATACAGTAGATAATGTGAAAATGATGTTCGGCGATAAAGACAACGGCCGATTTAAAGGCCCCACGTTATTTCGTCTTCCGATGGATACAGATCATGTCTTGTAATGTAAATGAGTTAAAGTATAATACAGTCGTTATTTAAAATGCGTTAATGTTGTGGGGAATACTAACGAGAGTTGGAAGATCATTCTGAGCTTCTTATCCGACCTATCACATGGACATCGTTCCCATCCATTAGAAGCTTCTGAAGGTGAATGCGGTGGTCAAGGCGGTCGAACACTTTTGGGAAAGTCCAGGTATGGGACGTTGACTTATACTCTGGCAGAGACTGGCTCTGTCCAGCTTGCTCAGGCTGGCGGTAGATTCGTAGTACATGAGCGATTGCGGCGGAATCCGTGCTGCTGTGACACTATGATGTTGTGGCTCTCATGATATCACATGAGGGCCTGTGCGAGTATATATTCCGAAACTTTGGATAGCACTGCGAGGAGGGTGATGGGACGGTAGTTTGAGGGCTCCGCAAGATTGACACTTGTGAATATGGGTGGTTATTCCATGCTTTCCCATTGTGGGAACATGTATTTCAACAAGGCTTGGTTGAAAAAGAAACCAGTTAACCGTTCAAACAGGTCCATGGCGACTGTCTGATGTCGTTCATGTTAGCAGAGCTGTGTACTCACAAGAACAACAGTCTTCTTCACATATGCTACAGTGTGACGGATACATGACTTAATCTGGGTGCACAGTGAGTTGTGTCAAAAACGGGTGAGGTGACGAATCATGCTGAAACGTGCGGATAAACTTACCGGGGCGCATTTGCCACCACTTGTGTAATCAGCGCCACACTATCTACTGTTGGCGGAACTGGGATTCCTCGCTCTGCACTCTTCAGAGCTTGTTTACATGTTTGTAGTGCATCTTAAGATTAGTAGTCCATTTTGTCGATAAGTTCTGTTTGGCTTTGAGTTTCTCTTCGTGGCGCAATTTGACACCATGATTTCGCTAGCTATATAGGCATCCAACGCTTGTGCCTCTGGACAGGCTTTATAAGCGCACCAGTGTGAATCCCTTAAAGTCATGCGTTTTAGGGTCAGGATCGTCAGGAAGGACATCGTTGGTTTCGCGCGAATGACGGGTATCCGACGCATTTGTCTCTAGTCCCGTGTGCAGGGCGAAAAATGCCTCCTACTAGGCCTCTAAACTATGAGGGACCATTTCGTTGTTTGAACAAGGCCAGACAGTATGCTGTATCGGGTAACGAAGTATTCCGCATAGCAGATGTAACGGAGCAGCAGCATCGCATGATCGCTGCGGACAAACGGTACATCTGTAGTAACGGTATCGATCATTAATTCCTGGTTGGTGAGCACTAGGTCTAGAACAGATGGTTCGTCACCAGTTCTGAATGTCGTGCGAACGGTGACATGGTTGTAGAGCGGTACCACTGCAATTATTTTTTGAATGTCCGCTTTGAATGGTTCACTCGGCGAAGCTGGGACTTCGATTACATGCAGGTTGAAATCCACACCTGAAGGATATAAATGTATGGTATTATCAGGATTCGCCTGATAGCAGACGCTAGGCGGTGATCCACTTCCAGGGTGGACATTGGAGGGCGGTAAACTATTGCTAGTAAACATACATCATCACGCTTCAGATGCACAAACGGCATTCGCAGCATGAGTGCCTTGTTCCGTCACCATCTCATCGGACTACTGGGCCGGCTGTATGATGAGCGCGCTAACTGTGATTGTGCTGGACTTTGGTCTCCCTTGGTGTATGCTTAGGTGCTATGACAAGGCGCCGTAGTCATACCGTTCCGGGGGGTGTCTTTAGTCCTAGCAGTAGGAGGAGTGCATCCCGTGCTCATCCCGTGTGCTCAGTTCACCACACCTTCACCACGCGCAGTGAAGCAGTGCTATTTTGAACCAAGTACCACTGGCTTCTGCCCCGTTGTTCCAACGCAGGAATTTTGCGTCCACATAACCGATGGGGAAAAGATGTTGAAGCGGCCTTATTGCAGAGATAAACATTAAACTATCGTGTGGAATTCCGAGCATCTTTTGTAATTTCAATAACATTCTGTTGCATTTGTCAGAGCCAAGAGTTTTGCGTATTAGAAAAGTGGCACTACCGTATTGCTAACTTACCTAACGACAATAACTTGGCGGAGACATTTCAGTTGTCATTATTTACCATGCCACCAAGTCGTGCAATGGAACAGGGTTTGTGGAAAATGCATAATTTTTATTCGCTTTTACAGGATACCGAACCGACGGAGTTTGATTGTATCCGTTCCTTTGTATATATTTGTCCCTAGAGAGGTTGAACAGTTGTTAACGCCGTTGTTGTGTTAGTGCACTTTGCCCGCATCGCCAAGGACGGGCCACTTTTATGTTCTAAACATATTTTACGGTGATAGAACTTGTTCTATTAGCCAACGATTGTGATTCCATAGCATTGGCGGAGTCTTGACTCATAGTTTACTTATTCCGGTCGGTTTCCACGTAAGGTGCCTCCAACTATCTCCTCTCAGTTCTAATGTATAGGGCCACCAAGCTTAAACTACTACGGGCAGTTGAAGGCTCAGTGCTATCGCGCAAAGCAATTTTGCCGCCACTAGCGGTAGTCTTGTTTGGTGATACCTCAGTGGAATATTCGTCCGCCGTCCTGAGCTCGCATCGGATGAAAATTTTAAACCATCCACTTCGCAATACTGAACAACAGCTTCTCATCAAAGGGCTAAATTGTGACTTCAAAAACGCTAAACCGATGGAATTTCTCGCTGGATTTAAATGCGCATCACAATCCAACAGCTTTGACAGAGGGACGAAAACACAATTGAGGCAGGCCGACGCTCCAATCCTAACGCACAACAACCAACAAACTTGTTTATCACAGCACGGGAAGAACGCAGTAAAAGCCCTGAATGCTGATGAAACTATCGTAATCCTGCCTGCGGACAAAGGACATATGACGGTCATAAGGGATGAAATGCATTACGTTGAAAAGGCAAGGAAACTCCTTTACGACACAACAGCATACTGCTGTATGGAGAACGATCCAACAGTACATTTAACGAATCAGATAAGGAGGACACTAAAAAGACTTCGGGATCTGAATGAACTCCCAAAGGAGGAACACGACAGAATGAAGTCTCGGGACTCAAAGATCGCACAATTCCAGGGCTTTCCGAAGGCAAACAAGGAGGGGGCACCACTACGACCAATCGTGTCCCTTCCTGATACACCCACATACAACTTAGTTAAAGAATTGTGGAGGCGCCTTAAACATCTGATCAGTGGAGCGCAGTATTCGATAAACAATGCACAGCAATTTCTAGAGAAGCCCAAAGGACTACTGATCGGTCATGAGGAAACAATGGTGTTGTTTGAGGTTACTGCACTGTTCACCTCTGTCAACTTACAAGTGGCGAACGCCTGGATGACAGCAGACCAACAATTTGGAATTTGACAACGGATAGTAGTGTATGCAGGCTTCTCTACTTATCCCTCAACCTACTTTAACTTCAATGAAGTGTTCTATGAACAAGTGAAAGGCGCTCCACTGGGATCCCCTATATCTGGGCTCATCGCAGATATCATCATGCAGAAGTTAGAAGAGAACCTGCTCCCAATTATCAACCCGAAATTACTGTTCGATATGTTGATGACACTCTGTGATACTCAAAAGCAGTCAGCTACAGACCGCGCAATACTTGCTGTACAATGCAATGGACGGCGTTCGCTTCGCCATGGAGTCAGAAATGAAAAACCAACAACCTTTCTTGGAGGTGCTTGTTTCCAGAACAACAGCCGGAGAAATACAGACATCAGTATACAGGAAGGGCACTGACACTGACCAAATCTTAAATTCCAACAGCAATCATCCAAATTGTCACAAAATAAGCTGCATACGGACCCTATTTCCCAGGATTAAGTGACATTGCGGTACTGAGGAAGCAGATTGAGAGGAAGAGAAACATCTGCTGATGTCCTACATACGCAATGGATACCCGCGCAGTTTCATCCGAAGATACATGTACTGCAGGGCTGAAAATACCACACCTGAAACAAACCCTGTACCAAACTTGAATTAAAGCTTGAATAAGTTTCTCCTTTGTCGTACAGTCCATGCCACGAAGGCGTTGCTTGAAAATAGAACACATATTTTCAATGGGGTTTAAATCTGGTGATTAGTATTTGATTAGTATTGAAAAAAGTCTTGACCATTTTTGATGTGTGGCACGGGGTCAGATCCCTTTGAAGAACTGATTTCTATTCCTTTCTCCCCCCAAATCACGTTTTAATGCATCACTAGTCTTTCGAGGATCTTTAACACTTTCCCGTATTAGGTAAGCGTCATCCCTGGCAGTGGTTTTCCTCTTTGGACCACATTTCCCTTTGCGTTTTGGCGAAATGCATCCCGTTTCCTTTTTCTTTTTGACCACACGGCTGACGGTTGCCGGACTGACGCCTACTATTCTTGCTATGTCCCTGTAGGTCTTGTCTGTGTGTTCGTGCAAGGTCACGATCTTCATGCGTCTTCTTGGAGTCACATCCATCTCTAACAATGACTGAATCACAAAAAACAAGAAGTTGAAACAAAAACCTTACTAACCATAAAAGGTATGATGCAATCTTGGGTGAGGTAACGACTAGACATGCGCAGTTATTACATCGTCTGATTCACAAACAATGATGAAATATCTATTCCCAAAATAAAATAAAAAAATAAATGCAAAACGGCAGCTTTCATGTATAAAAATATGATATTCATAGAAAAAGAGACACAATCGTAGTTTGTTTCAATTAATGTGCACAAGGATGTATGTGGTTGGCCACATCCGGTTTCCGATTTGCCCGTCACTCTGGTCAACCGCAGGACTCCTGCGCGTACAGAGGGACCATGGGTGGCTTGCGCTGCACCACCCACAACTCCATTCACACACCCGATATGCAATGTAAACCAGAAGGAATAAGACCGGGAGGGATGTGGATGGGAGCCACGTTTCATCAATGGAGCCGGCCGACACTCACTCACAGGCAAACATAAGCACGCTGTATTTGGGGAATCAATCGCACACAAGGCGGTGGCTGGACCGTAGTCCGCTCCACACTGAGTGTATGGAACCACCCTTCGAGCCTAGCGCGACCACAAAGACCGTGCACCCCGTCCCCTCCAGCAATGACTAACTGTCTCCTGGAACCAGATGGACGAGGTAGTGGGTAATAGACAGGTAGGCACCTTGTCAACATGCATATCAAGCGCAGCAAACAACAGCCAATCACTTGAAACAACGATATCAAATGAGATAAATCGTATAATGCATGCAGATACAGTGACAGCTCTTCAATAAATGAGCATATGAAATAAATTGGTTGCGAACAAATCCGCGATAACTTTGGACTTCAGAATAAATATTTTAAGCATATGCCACAAACGCGAAAATGTTATCCAAGTTGACTAAATTAGTTTAAAAAACGTGTGCAAGTTTATTGAAGATAGTTCAGGTAGACATTAATGTGAGATAAAAAGTATTAGTGCGATATAGCAAATCCACCAACTGAAATCAAGTGACCCATCATGCAAGCACGCGTTTAGTAAATCGAATGCAGCGTGCCTATATATATATATATATATATATATATATATATATACATATATATATATATCTGGCGCGCTCTATGTTGATCCGTACCTTTCCGTCCAAAATATAACCGGAAGCCTGTGTACTACCGCCCTGTTTGTGCTGCTGTTTTCTTCTTTAGGGCTACGTGGAGATGCGTTTCGAAGGCTACCTGGAGCCGCGACCGCATGATCATTCCAGTGAAGTCACACTACTCTCCTGACCCTCCTCCAACAATATTTTCCCGCATTTTTATTGTAAACAACAACTGCTCATAAACAGATTTTTCATCCCCTTTATGACCCTTATGCTTTTCATCCTCGGTGTTGTATTTCTTTTTCCCATCCTTTTCTAAGAATCTATTTGTAAAATTTGTAAAATCTATCTCCATGTATATTTATATTGCGTTTCGTTTTTGCATCCTCTCTAATGTGAGCGGTTGGGATACCATTTCGACGTCTTTTGACACAGTACAGATTAACAGCTGAGGAATGTATTAGTTTCGAGGCTCCATTCGATGGTTGTTTTGCTATTGTTGAACTGCGGCACCTGTGTTCATCATCTGGAAACAACTTACTAGTTACCAATGTTTGTCTTCGTCCCGCATGAAATATCATCAGAGTCCTCTACCTCTTGCTTTATGGCGACCTAGTAACAGTACGACTTGCTCAAATACCACTGTTGGCAACGATTTTCATTGTGAGTGTGCTGGCCAGCTGCTTACGGGCCACACTGTGCGTAGGTGTAAGCTTTCGACAAAGCAGCATCTGACTCCCACAAGTTGATGTGAGCCGCTGTCCTACTCAGCATACCTTCCACACAGGCCAACGCTTATGTACTGGAAAATCACACGTTTCAGGAGGTTTATGCCATGATCTTAAATCCACAAATGCTATACAGACATTTCTCTATGAAACCACCGACACTTGAGCTTCCTCCTTTGGTTTCGCTCCTGCTATGAAACGCTTTTAATCATGCTTACTAAACCATAGCTTGTTTTCAGGGGTTCATGGGAATCCTTGTAGTATACAGAGATGAACTTGGTTTAATCGCTCACGATTATCAGGGGTGACGGTTTACTATGTGACACTGTAAAAACCTAAGTCGGTCGTCTTAAGGGCAAATCACAACTTCAGTAGCTGTGAAAGAAATTAAACCATCTGCCTTTGCTCATGCCTGCAGTAGTTAAGTGGCATTCTGCTTCAGCCCGGAAACCCGCCTACACATTGCAATTGTCAGCGCTCGAATTGTACGATACCGTTCTGTTGTGTCAAGAATCTCAACCACTTTACCAATGCCATTGAGCCACTCCACCAAACGCCTTCTCCAGTTCAGGAGTAACCTCTAATTCTGAGTTACGTTTCGCTTCCAGCGTACTACATGTGTTTGCTACTGGTCGTGCAATTGTGTTGTCTCGCGCTGGTTTGTGAGAACTCAACACTGTAGAGAGGCGGTATGCTCAAGTGCCTTAATCATAAGTCCAACTCACTGGAACAACTAAGCTTCATCTGGAAAGCGAAGTGTGAACTCCCACTGCCAGTTCAAAGTTTACTCCGCCAGGCCAGCTGAAGACGCGAGCAAGGAACAGAAAGATTCCATCGAACAAGTATGCTCTCTTCGTGCGGCGTATTCATGGTCTGTACGCTACGTTTTGAAACGTAGTAAACCACCATCTGGTCCACTTATCCAGCAGCAGGGAGACAAGCTTAGCTGATCTCCAGGCCTCACACAGTCCGTAGGCTAGGAGACGTTATGTCTCCATCGTATGGATCTTACGAGTGTAGTTGTTCATTCTGTAACCTTGTTTCCATGATCCACTAATTTTATGCAAGTTTCATAGCTGGACGTGACGTAATCCGTAAACACGGTTGCGCATGACACACCAACGTTTCTTCGTCTTGATAATTTATAGTCGCTTGGCGGGTTGTTAGGCTCCCTCCCCGCAACTTAGTGTCCCCTTTGGGACAAAGGCGCGTACCAGTAAGACCGATATAGAGTCAGTACTTTCGTATCGCCTATTCTCGAAAATAACGGTAATGCCAGTATGATGGCTGTGATACCAGATGGCACCGTTTTCATCCCTTCGTGACTTGGCCGCCAGATCACCTTCACCCTCCCAGAACTGAGGCTTACAAATGCAAAGTGATAACAATTAGCTTGTTCTCTGAATCAGCTAGCTAAAGATGAGCTGGCAACAATAGATAGGACGGGACAGAAGAACCGGTGGATTAACGCTTGGCCACACAAGCAGCGTCGCAGATGTTTCTAGGAACCCCAGTTGACTATTTTTGAAGCAATTGCAATGAAGATTCTGAAACCGGAGCTGTACAAACAGCGCACATTGCTACAGGCTCTGAAAGTACCTTGGCCTTGTACTATCAGTTGTTTCACCTCGGCCTTCAAGGGTGACATATGACCAGCCTTGATCACGTGCTTCCTAATGCGACAGTCGGATTAAGCAAACCGATGATTTACTTTTCATACTGCCTGGTTAATGAGTTGGTTGCTCTCTGTTCAGTCCTTTGCCCAAACTAGACAAGCCTCTACTAACTTTCTGCACTCATACATTTCGCTCTATAAGTGTGTACGCCCGATGACAATTATCGAAAGGAATATTCTTCGCGCATTTGGTTACTTCTCTGACTCGAATGCATAGATGATTACTAAAACTCCGGTAACTTGGGAGTAAATGCTGAGGTGTTGATTCACTGACCAAAGTGGACGGTTAGGTTAAACGTTTCGCCATCAGAGTTGACACTATAACGCAATTGATCAGTCGCTATAAATCTGGATTCGACTCGCTTTAAGGAAAAGCCCGAGCAAGACGAATAAATGGCGAGGTGTACATTCATCGTCGAAGCGTACGGTCACGCTGGCGTAAAGGCACCGCAAAAACGCTGTAGCTAAGGAAGAAGTATGGTCGCCACTGCAGACGTCAAGAGCACTCTTCGAGTCGGAAACTTTGAGGCGCGCGAATAGCCATCGGTCTGGTTGACTCAAACACACTCAGTCAACATTCCAGCAAACAAGCTTCCTACTTTGTCTAGGTACAAGATGCAGGTGTTCTTAAAATATTTTACAGATTGTACCCAGTCATCCGGGGTAATCTCCAGGTCGCTGCAACACCTTCGGCAAACTGATTGCCTATCTCGGCAAACGAAATATCTCAATTTCTGGGTGTCTTAACAGTATATTGTAGAAATTAAACATTCCTTAAAAAAATTCACTACTTATTTTCGAGCTGGTGTCAGCTGGAATATATGATTCCACTGATTACTGAGGCATATGAGCAAATGGTTTATCTAACTATTTTCCAACCAGCTTCGGGAATATACATCCATACTCTTCGAGTCTCCACACCAATCAGGTCCTACCGTGTTTGTGTTAACCGCACTTTCTTGCGTGCACTCATTTTTCAGGAGGGTCACTCGGTTGACTAACCCATCGCTAAGGCCGTCATCCGGTCAGATCTCAGACACAAGTTGTTTTCTTATACTCAACCCGGTTCATAGTTTAAGGAGAGCAATGGTTAAATTCGGTGGGTCCCTTAGACCCAAGGGGCCCGAAAATTCCCACATTAGACACAGTGCTCGGGGAACCCAAATATCCAGCAGAACGTGTAACAAACGTCCATGTGCTTGGCATGGAACACCACTGAGTTCACCAGAAGTGACAGTGTACTACGGATCTGCTAGTGGCCCTTGTCAGTCCAACAGAATCCACTGATCTTAACTTGGGATCTGCTGTCACCGACTTGAAATCCTTATAGACATTTACTCCCCCCCCCCAAACATTGCATGGTATTTCAAAGGATTTTATACTTCGTTAGGTAGGTACATTCCTCCTTCAGAAGTATCTTAATGCTGGAGTGTATTGATTCTCTTCGGCGCGTGTTTCGTGTCGCAAGTCTCAGTATTAGGGACACGCATACTTCTTCCAACTAACCTAACTTGGTATTGCGATCGCCACAATGTTTTACTGTTCAATAAGCATTTCAAGTAGTTATGAGCGACTACCACAGCAAGTGACCACATGGCACTGCAGGGCAGTCCAAATGGGCTTTCTACGTAGACAACACAGGATATGCCATGGTTACTTCCACCATGTGTACTGTCCGGCATACACCGTCAGAGTGTTTACGAGTACTGGATCGGAGGACAGACTTTGCAGTGTACTTATTGTGAAGACGATCTTCGAATAAGTGCGCAGGATAGCTTAGGTTGCTTAGAGACTGGGGACCATCTCAATGGACGTCAGCAGTAGTATGGAATTGATCGAACTGATAAGAACTTGTAGACTTGGCGAGGATGGGTGACGGTGACGCGGAGATTGGCACAGAACTGGAGGCCGATATAGCTGTGATAGCTTTTTCTTAACTTCCTGATTGTATTTCCTATTTTAGGCCCCAGCCTTTTTTGGACATCCTTCCTGACGTGATGCATTCTGGAGGCTGTTACCTAAGATCCCCCTGTGTAGTGCTTTTAATCGTTCAGACAGTTAGTCCCATCTTTTTGGACACATTCCCTCTAGTGTTCTGGTTCGTTCGTTGCACACTACTCTTGCCCACGCTGTCTTGGCACGATTCCCATGATCGCATGCTGCCCATGGCATAGTTGCTCAGCGTAAATGAATTGTTTACGTCGTCTTCTTTCCTTGCTTTTCCTACTGAGTATAAGCTCGATTTCGCTGAGCTGTCAGCACGACTTATTCTAACCCCAGACAAATCCTTTTGTGCGCACAATTTTTCAAACATGCTATTGGTGGACTAGTACATGGCGTCGTGTCCTGGAAGGTGCTTTTGCCGCAAACAGAGACATGAAGCTTTATTGGCTTCAGCTATTTGGAAACCACCAGCCTAAACTTCAACCATAATATCATTAAGTAAACAGCGAACACAGAGATGTTTGACGCCGTACCTTGCAATGAAGCCTGATAAATTATCTCTCCAGAGCAGTGATTCACAAAGTGTGATTCGCGGGCTATTTCCATGGGGTCCGCGAGATTCCCAACATTGTTATGATTCCGTCCAAAAATATTTTGGAAGCGATCGTTTTATAGTTCGATGACAAATCTGCGGTGAAAATTTATTCAATCATATCTGGCGGTCTCCATTAGCCTTGTAAATGACCCATGTACAACAACCTCCTTCCAAGAAGGAATTTCGATTTGGCAGAGACTTAAAATGTTAGTGAACGAAGTTGTCAGATTCCAGAATGCTAGTGTGGTAATCACACCCATAATCCAGGCTTTGTCACTCTGGAGGAGGCGAAAATTAACTAATGATATATGGCCTTATTTTGCAGTCGTTTCGAAAGTCGCTATTCTCGCAATATGCAAATCAGAAAGAGAGCTACATTAGCGCGCTCCTATCCAGGTGGAATGAGTAGAAGACATTGGAAAATTGACGCTGGTGCTGTGGAAACAAGCTGCGTACTCATCTTTAGGTTTT